GGAGAGACCAAACAACATCTGACTCCTCAGGTAACCTCTCTACTATTTAACAGCTATATTCATTCCACTCCCTGGCCAAACATCTGTCTCTCACCCATTGACTCCTTAATTTACATTGTCACTGACTGGCTTTATTGCCTCGCATTCATGATACTTTGGACCTCCTGAACAAATCTCAATGGCTCTCCACCCTTGACCTGGCTAGTGGGTACTGGCAGTTGGACACACAATAGAGAACAGAGCTAAGACTGCCTTCTGTACTAAGAAGGGGCTTTTTAAGTTTAACATGCCTTTTGGGTTAGGCAATTATCCTGGTACATCTTAGAGACTGATGGATAACTTATTAGTGGATTTACAAGAGAGCTCCTACTTGGTGTACCTGAATGATGTCACTGCAATAGGATGAACCTTTCAGGAGCACTTGCAGAAACTGAAAGCTATGCTTGAGATGCTGAAGGAAGTAACAAGGAATAATGGCCATAAATTGAGTAAGAGTAGGTTCAGGCTAGACATCAGGAGGCGTTACTTCACAGTCAGGGTGGCTAGGATCTGGAACCAACTTCCGAAGGAAGTGGTGCTCACTCTTACCCTGAGGGTATTCAAAAGGAGGCTAGATAATCACCTAGCCGGGGTCATTTGACCCCAGTACTCTTTCCTGCCCATGGCAGGGGGTCAGACCTGATGATCTGCTCAGGTCCCTTCCAACCCTACCAGCTATGAAACTATGAAACTAAGATGTGGCCTCACCGGTGCAGAATAGAGCAGAATAATTACTTCCGTCAATCTGCTGGCAACACTCCTACTACTGTAGCCCAGCAAGTGGTTAGCCTTCTTGGCAACAAGGACACACTGCTGACTCATCCAGCTTATTGTCCACTGTAGCCCCCAGGTCCTTTTTTGCAGAACTGCTGTTTAGCCAGTCAGTCCCTAAGCTGTAGTGGTGCATGAGATTCTTCTGTCCTAAGTGCAGGACTTTATACTTATCCTTGCTGAACCTCATAAGATTTCGATTGGCCCAATCCTCTAATTTATCTAGGTCACTCTGAATCCTAACCCTACCCTCCTGTGTATCTACTAGTTGGTCTCTCCAACACTTGCACCGGGAAGTTGTCTCTAATACTCTCCAAAAACTTCCTGGATTGCCTGCACGGTGCTGTTTTGCCCTCTGAGAAGACATCAAAGTGACTGAGGTCTTCCATGAGAACCAGGGCCTGTGATCTGGAAACTTCTGCAAGTTGTCTGAAGAAAGCCTCATCTACCTCATCCTCCTGGTCTAGTGGTCTATAGCAGATACCCACCACAACATCACGCTTGTTGCTCTTCCCTCTGACCTTAACCCAGAGACTTTCAAAAGGCCTATCTCCAGTTTCATACTGGAGCTCTGAGCAATCCTATGGCTCTTTTACATACAATGCAATTCCTCCTCCTCTTCTCCCCTGCCTGTCCTTCCTGAAAAGTTTGTACCAATCCATGTCAGTGCTCCAGTCATACAAGCTCCCACCATGTCTCTGTTATTCCAATCATGTCATAGTGTCATAACTGTGCGAGGATGTCCAATTCTTCCTGCTTGTTTCCCGGGCTCTGTGCATTTATGTACAGACACCTGAGGTGAATAGCCAATTGCCCTATTTTCTCAGGAAGAATGAGGCCTCCCCTGTTGCCCACTCCTGCTTCTGCTTCCTCCAGATGCTCCACTTCCCCACTTACCTCAGGGCTTTATTCTCCATCCCCCGGCAAACCTAGTTTAAAGCCCTCCTCACTAGGTTAGCAATGTCAGCTGTTCTGCAGGAAAGTGAACTTTTTGGGATATGTGATCTCTACAAAGGGATAGGCCCAGACCCAGGGAAAATGGAGACCATTAAGACCTGGCCAGTACCCTGAAATGTGAAAAAATTGCACAGCTTTTGGGCTCTAGACTCCTAATACAGGAGATTTGTGGCAGGTTTTGCTACCATTGGAAGCCCCTTGCAAAAACTCCCTAACAAGGCAAAGTTTATTTGGACAAAAAAATGTCAAGACACCTTCCGGAAGCTAAAACAGTGGTTGATGTTGTCCTCTATTTTATCATACCCTAACTCTCGGTTACCTTTCTTGTTAGATACTGATGCAAGTGACATCAGGGCTATTTTGTTACAAATAAAGAAGGCCCAGGAAGGGTAATAGCTTATGGTAGCTGAACCTTAAACAAAGCTGAGTGCCAATATGCAGCTACCAGAAAGTAATTGGTTGCTGTGGTGGCCTTTATGAAGCACTTTTGGCACTTCCTTATGGGAAGATGCTTCATGCTGAGAACAAATTTTAGCTCTCTCCAGTGGCTGCACAATTTTCAACAACCCGAAAGACAACTGGCCAGGTGGTTGGAACAGCTGGCTGAGTTAAACCAAATAGTGCATTGCCCTAGAAGGCAGCACCAGAATGCTGATGCCTTGTTTTGTAGGCCTCACATGGTGGAGGGGTCAACCGAAGGGCGAGGCAGGGGAGGTATGGCCACTATCAATAGCAGAGGCAGCCAGAAGCAAACCACAGAAGCAGCCAGAAGAGTTTGACCACCAGGCGGTAGGGTACATCACCTCAAGGGGCAGCCACAGAATACCGATGTCTTGTTCAGTGGACCTGTCAGTGGAAGGCGAACCTGAAGCTGCAACAGTGAGGATACAACTACTACCAGCCACCGGGAGAGCCAGGGGTGAAGCACCCTAGATGCAGGGGAAGCCAGAAAGCTGACAGATGGATGGGTAAAACAGTGGGAAGATACTGGCATTGAAAAACTGACAAGTGAAAGGAGCTTGATAGCAAAGTTTCCTGAAGGGCAACGTCATCCTTGCTTAAAGTGATACCAGGTAGTGTGGACCAAACTAAGCATTAGGCAAGGAGTTCTAGTGTGAAAGCTTCAAACAGTGGTGCCAGAGAAGAAAATACCAAAAATTCTGCAAGCCTTGCATGATTCCAATACAAGGGGACATTTGAGCATGGAGAAGGTCTCTCGTAAGTTCCAAAAACGGTATTTCTGGTTAGCCTGGAGCCAATCTGTTGTGGACCAGTGCAGATCATGTAAGGTGTGCGGTGCATGAAAAGGGATGAGAAGCAATCCCAGGCCCCTCATGGTCTCCATGCAGTCTCTACAACCACTGGAGAGAATAGCCATGGATAACCTGAGCTCCCTACCCACTACCCTAAGTGTCTTAGTAGTGCCTATTTCTCAAATTGAGTGGAAGCCTATCCTCTCCCTAATCAGGAAGCACAGACAGTGGCGACGCTTTCTGTGAGAGAGGTGTGTGGTACCATGGTACACTTTGATCGCTTCACACTAAAGGAGAAATTTTGAATCACAACTATTCCATTGCACATGAGCTTTTGGAAATTAATAAAATCTGCACCACACCCTATCACCCCCCAATCCGATGGACTAGTGGAGTGGATCAACCATGCTCTAGCTGGCCTAATATCGTCCCTGATTCAAGGCAGCCAGACGTGGGATGTGGGTACTGCCATATGTCATGATAGCTTACCAGAGCAGCATGCAGTCATTTATGGGGTTTACACCATACGTAGTGTTGTTTAGGCAGATTTGTCTACCTGTCAATACCGTCTCTGGAATAAATGTACTGGAAGAATTTAACAATCTGTCTGAATATGTTACAAAAGTGACAGGTTACCTAAGACGCATCAGGCTTCAACTACACATAGACAGAAAGAGCACTATGACCTTAGGGTCCCTGGACCAGTGTATGAGCCAGGGGAGCTGGGGTGAGTGTGGAACCAAACTAGGAGATGGGGTCAGTGCCAGAAGCTCTGCAAGAAGTTCAGTGGCCTCTATACAGTCATCAAGGAATTGTCTGAGGTGCTATACGAGCTGGTGAGTAGGCCCCAGTCAAATGTTAACAATACACAATAATCGGATAAAACCCTGTGTGTGCTCATGGAACAGAGATCCTGGCCCCCCAAGGGAGGTAAAGAGGCCTTTTCATCAACAACCAACATGCTACTAGGGGCTTCATAGTTGAACATCCACCAATACAGCCCCTATTATTAAGCCCAATGGTGTGCTGCCAGAGGCTGCTTCTAGGCCAGGAAGTGTCAGGTGGGACCTGGGCTCTGGCAGGAATGATGATACCCAAGAGAAGTGGGTACAACAGAGTACCGAACACCCACTAGAACCAGGTCGGGGGTTCTAGAAGCAGCTGGGGCTCCCATCCCTGAACTCACAGGTAAGTCACACAAAGACCATGCAAGCGGCTGAGTGACTACATGATGTAACGTGAGTAGGATACAGGGGCACATCCAGTTAAAAAGTGGGGGGGGTAATGTAGTGCATGTGTTGTGTAATGTAATACATTGTGCGCATTGCAAATAACACATGCGCATAAATATGTGTTAGTAACAGAAGGAGAACAACCTTGTGGAGTCCTGCTGGCTGTGATTTTGGACTACAAATCCCAGAGACATCTGAAACCTGTACAGAGCAACTCTAGACTAAAGGCTGGTTATTGGAGACACCTTCAGAGGTTGGGGAAAGGAACTTCATGTGCTGAATGTGGTACTGACTGCTTTCCCTTTAAGTGATGTTGTTATACAGTGAACATCTAGTTACTTGTATTTGTCCCTCCCTTTTGGTCCGTTGTCTTATGCCCCTAATCCCTACGACTTTCTATATAAAAGTGAGAAAACTCCTCGTTGGCTGTGGCAATTGTGCCCGACACTGCAGGGCTTTGCTACATTATTATATAATAAAAGGTCATTAGTCAAAAGAAGCCTACTAACAATCTGAAATTCTACTATAGCTTGGAAACCAATTAAACAAGTACATTATATATTTCCCATACTTTGTTCCCTATTTGACAGGCTTAACTTGCTAAAGAATTATGTTATGCAATTACATTTGTTTTTAATTAAAAAGAGTTGACATAAAAAAATATTGATTAAAAAACAAACAAAACACTTTCACCATAACCTGCTTCCCATGGAGGACGTTAAATAAAACAACTTTCCACTATAGCACATGCAATCTAAGGACATGGCAGCGTGTTGTTTTTATTTCAGGAAAAAACATGCTTAATAAAATAACCAGTAAGGGCTAAATTAAGAACATTTCAGTGGTTAGAAGACACGATCGCATTTTACAATGAAAATGAGTATACTTGGAACAGGAATTCTGGTGCATTGACACCATTATACAGAGAAGATGGGAAAGTTACATATGCTCAAAACTTAAATAAGTGGCACCACATGGAATATAAAACCCCACACTTTTGTATAAACATTCAGAGGGGATAACATTACTAATAGCATCCAGAATAATTCAAGTCACAGAAAACTGTAATTTAGTTTAATGCTCTATACTGTTGTATTAAAAGTAGATATTGTGCTTATTGGTCAACTATTTAATAAATGAAAGTTAATCTAGTTTTGAAAACTAGCATACATCTCAATATAGCTGCACACTTAATATTGAAGTTCATGTAACACCACTAAAATAAGTGCAAACTATAGCACAAAGATCTAATATTTTAGTTGGCCTGTTTCCAGTCTCATGTAAACAGTATTTCTAAATGGTATTAGTAACACAATAGGAAAGGTATCTGCACCATGTAAAGTTTGTAATGAATACAAAACACCACAAACAACATGGGTTGGGAAGGCACAATAGCCCCTTGCTAGAGTCAACCTTCAGTATAATTTCCTGTGTATTCTCTGATTGCTTTTTCGAAATAGACAACTTTCCTTTTGAAACTAAAATATTTCTCTTTTATATTCAAGAAGACGGCAGGCTAGCTTATGCTTAAAAACTGATTTGAGAAAAACATGCTGCATTCTTCAGAGTCACCATTTGCTAATGGCTACCACAGGTGTTCCCTGAGACAACACAACGTGGTGCAGGAATTCTTCTTAAGTGCTGACATTTTCAAATGGAGACATCTGTGTGGGTGATGTACATCTCTGGGGCTGGGAAACAGAGTAGACCTTTTGAGGCCCCTTCCATCTCCTCTATGATCTGATGACCACAGAAGCATAATGCCATTTCAATAATTAACAGTAAACACAATGAGGAAGCAGAAAAACTCTGTAAAGAAAAAAGACACCCTGAGGCATGACAATTTCACAGCTTTGACAATTTGAGCTAAATATGCAGATTCATGATGTCTGAACAAACAGACTTTAAGAAATGAAGAACTTACAGATACCAACATATGAGTACATGAACTAAAGGTACGAGGGACTGATTTCACACTTCTGTAACTCCACTGATATCAAATGAATTTAACAGAGCCATCAGGCCCAGAATTTTGTCACTTTTTTGTTATTATTAAAAGCCACATGAGTAACACACAAATCTGTAATCCTCTCTCTCATCTCTCGTTTTACACAGATGTAGCTACAGTGAAATCAACTGTTATTTCTGAGCTACGCTATGCAAAAAAAATTGTAAAAAAATCACTTTGGCTTTACAGCTTCATAGAAAAAGCTGAAGGGACATCCTTGCAAACAGAACTTTTCAGTCCACCAACTCCTTTTTTGTCATTAAAATATTATATGTAGAGACAAAAAGTTTACATGAACAGTACTGGTTTTGAGCTCATTTGGAAAGTTATGAAAATGGACAATTTGACCAAAAAACCCTAACACATTGGGGTGGAGGGCAGAGAAGAGGAAAGAAGGGAGAGAGGAAGAACATCTGATCTAGCTTCTTCCATTCAGAGAGTAATCTCAAAATCATTACATAAACCTAAGCTCTCCCCTGTGGTAGACGGCACATACATTTTGCACCAATGATTTGTAAAATGTAAGATGCTGGCAAAGTTAAGAAGAAAATCCAGAAATCTCGACTGGGAGTCCCTTACTCCATGGTTCATGTAACTCACCTATTTATGACAACAATGATCAAAAATTCAGTTGGTGGCAAAGGCTGAAACAGTTATGATTCAAACCACTCCTACTTTTTCTTTGTTTGTTTGTTCATGTAGGAACAGCATTTCCCTTTGGGAACAAAGTTACTGTAAGAGTGTGTTGATCTACACAGAGAACTAAGAACACCTATATCACTGGGTAAGAGTATGGTGGGAAGTAATAGCAGCAAGCATCTGACTGGGTAGTTAAAAAAACTCTTACTTTTCTTCTCAAAACAGGGCAGGACTGCCCTTTTCTTCTTTGGAAGGTTGCCTGTAAATATAGGCTCTATAGAGTTGACACAAGATTGAACAGGGATCTTCACAGACCAGTGATGCTCAAGGTTTTGGCCCCATGGGCCAAATGGTTCAGGGCTGGTCCATGAGTTGGATGTGGGCCTTCACCACTGCTGCTCACCTGGGATCAGGCTCCAGGGCACCACCTGGGCCCACTTGCTGGAACTGGCCCTGGGACTCTGCACTGCCTCCACATGCCAGGATTGGGCCCTGTGCTGACCCTCCCCCCTTTCCCCCCCACCATACATATTGATTGGGCCTTGTGGGCCATACGACATTGTGCCGGGGGCCAGATCTAGCCCACAGGCTAGGGGTTGAGCATCCGTGTCCCAGACATTTGATAGGAACTGCAGCTTTTTTTGAATAGCAGAAGTAAAGGAGCAGAAATGTAGTTTAGTATCATTTATCCTAATTTCAAACAATATAGGTCATACTTAGTTACATACAAAGTCACGTTTTGCTCAAAACCATACGCACAGATCCCACAGAAAAATCAGTAGAGAATTCACCTCCACATTCATAGGACAAATCTTGGCCCAGTATCTTTTCAAAAGGAGTTTGGTAAACAATACTCAACTGCAAAGTTATCGTCCACCTCCTAACCACAATGAGCCACTGCCAGAACTACTGCAATGAAGTGGTACATTATTAGGCAGGAAGTTGTCTCAGTACCTTTTGCAGTTTTGGATATTTTTCTACTGAAAGCAGGGGTGCTCAGCCTCTGGCCCATGGGCCAAATGTGGCCAGCAGAACCATTTAATCTTGCCTGTGGGGCTCCCCATCAAGAAATTTGGTGGTGGGGGAGCAGTGGCCATTAATATGGCCACTCTCCCCACAGCCAAATTCCTGAACCTCAAGCTCTGCACAACTGGTTGGAGTCAGGCTGTGCTCCCTTCCCCCCATGGACCACACCTCCCTACACATCTGGATCAGAGTGGGTTGGGGCCAGGTCATGCCCCCTTGCCCTCCTGTGGGGCCAGATTGGGGCTAGGCCACATCCCCATTCCCCCTTGGGTCCAAGCTATGCTCCCCTCCCCTGCTGGGCCAGGCTGCCCCAAACCCTCTATGCAGCTGGATGGTACACACTGTGTCCACCAGGGGTGCCAGATCAGGACCACTTCCTGGATCCGGGTCTCAGACAGACCTGGCACTGCCCATGTGGTCCACTGAGGAAAAAGGTAGAGCACTACTGATCTAAAGCATAGATAACTTACAGTACACGGTAAATATAAATATTGTTTCCATTTCTTTGTTACAGTTGCTTCTTGTGGCTTTGTCATCAAAACCACTCAGCTTGTGTCCATAGTATTCCTGCCCAAATTGCAAATTGCTCTAAGCAAGCATTAAATCCAAGCTGTCATTCCATATGTCCAAGGTTAATATCACCTTGATATCACTACAATAAGCCTGAGGATTTCCACAGTTGAAGTGATCACATTTGAGAATTACTATTTATCAAGTACAGAAAAAGTAAATCTCACAAACTTCAGTTCCTCCTCCAGCCCCCTATAAACTCCAGGTTATATCCAGGCCTTTGCCCCTGTCTTATTCTGCTCCACATCCTAACCCCATTCTCTCTGGTCCCATCCAATACAGTCCCTTTAGATATCTTTCAACTACTCCCTGTGCATTAGTGAGCACTCTTCCCCCTTCTCTGTACTACCCAGGAGGCAGCAAAAAGGAGTACTGAGAGCACAAGAGAGCTCCCTTTTCTCAGAGCTTGTGCTCCAGACAAAGCAGCCTCTACCAGCTAAGAGAAGAAATTTCAAGAAAAAGAGTTGAAGCAAGCTCTGCTGCTCTGTACACATAGAACATATGTGGTCCAGTTTGTTTGTAGCTGTGATGGTATGATGCATGTTCACTGGAGGCATAAACTTCAGGGAATTTACCAAGCAGGTAAGTTTCTACTGTGCATGTGCAAACCAGTTTTTTCAAAAACTAATAACTTGAGCACATTTTTCTGGAAATGGCAAGAGGCATATCCGACTCCAGGGAGATGGCCTTATCAAATTTAAAGTGTCTGACCCAAAGAATAGACTAGGAGAGCTTCACAATGAAACAGCTATTTCAGGAAGCAATTGAGTTTTATCTGAAACTTTCAAAAACAGACAGAAATCTGATACACAAAGCTCTAGGACCAAGAGGTTAAAGGATATGAGCTACAAGCAGCTGAAAAAGGGGCTTTTAACACGATGTTTCAGGAAATCTTATCTAGAAGTAACAGTACCTGGCTCCACCTACAAAAAGTACCGGGGTACCCAATTCTCAGAGAATTACTCATCCTTGATATGTTTGAAAATTCATGAAGATTGTCAGCATTAAAATTAATTACACAAACACTTTGATTTCCCTCAGAGGTGATCATCAACTCAGTGATCAAATAGAAGAAACTGCAATGGAAATAAGTAGTGAAGTATTGTGTAGTAAAGTTAAATTCTATCCCTTTTACAGTTCATGCACAGTATACCACATTATAGACTACATCATGGGGATGATAGCATAGTCTTAGTTAAGAAGGGGGAGAAGGGAAAAACACAACATTATGCACGCTGCTTTTATAGTAATTATAGTAATAAAGTATGAAGTATTTGAAACACAGTTGAGTTGTATAGGAGCACGGCTCTACTTGCAATGTAGACAAGAACCTTATTTGTAAGCTTTATCTAAAGGGAAGGAGGAGTTACCAGAAGCATAAATTACCACTTCAGAAAGAAAAAAAAAAAAAGAACCCAAACCTGGAAGTCCTCTCTTATGCTCAGGTCTTGCTCCAAATATATGAACAGAAAGGAAACGATCCCAACACTACAGAAAGATTAATAACCTTAATCTTTCTTATAAGGCATGTGGGGGACAGGGTATATAAATAGTTGCTGAGAAAGCCACTGTTATCCCCTTCAATCAATATTTAGCAAGATGAAGATTGTTGCAAGATCAAGGCAATGTTCAGAATGCACAATATATAAAACATACATTTTGAAACACACTAGAAACAAAAACAGATTAAAAAAAACTTTACATCAACTGGTCACAGTGTACTAAATTCATTTCTTCTTTTCCTAATGATTTCATTTTAAATTATTTAAGAAATACATTAGATTGCAACCTGAAATCCAATAGTATTGAAGTGCTTTTAACACCAGAAATATTTGGCTAAATCAATACAAAACTGTACTGTTAAGAATACCCCTCACAGCTCCTCTGAATAAGAAACAGAGCCTCCAAGTTGAGTTGTTAGGAAGAAAACCAAATATCTCTAGGCACAGATATTAGCTGTGCTCTAAAAACCCTTTCAATATTTTTAGACTCATTAGAATTACAAATGTAATTATTTTACACATGCACACACACTTTTAAGTGGTACTCATGGCTTTCTGTACAATTAAAAAAAAAAAAACCGGGAAAATATACATCTTAACTGAAATACAAATGTACAAAAACATAGCTAATTTTTATAAAAGTTATAATATACTCTGCTCCAGAGATATAAAACATTTGAAGCTCAGTCATCCTTTGTTTTTGGTGACAGTAAAGTTAATTCAAAGTCTAGAGGACTCCTCTTCATTATCACTGTAACTCGATTTAAAGCAGACCTGAGGAACAGACCAGACAAAATGACTTCATTTAGTTAAACAATAGCTGGTGATTTTTTTTTTGTTTAAGAATATAGCTTTTCTACTACATAAACTAATTTAGAAATATCAAAAGGAAAATAAAAGTCTTCCACAAATCAAAGTTCAGACTTTTTAAAAACTTCATCTTAGGTTCTTGACTTCCATTTCTGAGTTCACTTGAAAATTATATACAATATATTAATAAAAAATAATGATTGAAAGACCTCCAGTCATATTTGAAGAGACTGTTTATCAATGCAAAAAACAGTTCTTAGGACAAAATCAAAATTATGATGATCCAAATGGGTGAAGCAGAGTTGTGGCAAAAGACTCAAATATTGATTTCAGCCATACAAACTATTGGTGTATTTGCAATTCATTATTATCCATTCACCAAATGAAACAACTGAATGAATTCAGAAGTGCAAGCTGAAATGTTTGGTATTTTGTTATGTGTTCTGTACATGTTGGATCAGCAAGATACTGGGCTGACTCAGTAATAGAAATATCACCATAGTTCCTCAACTACAGCATGTACCTTTTCCCATAAAATCAGCCCATGTAAAATTGGGGTGCATATATTAAGTGGGGAAGATGATTTTCTGATTAGGACAGAAGCACCCTGCTTTGATTCCTGCTCCACAGCACACAGGTGAGAGATTCAAATCATAGATCCAACTATGGAAAGCAGTCTTCAACAACAACTAGGTTTTCAGCTTTAGTTAAGCAGGAAAGGGAAGGGTGAGCGAGTTGAAGCTCTGTCTCTGTTCTATGCAGCCATAACTGAAAACATCTTTTTTTTTTGTTCTTCTTTCTTTTTTCTTTCATCTTTCTGCATTTCAAAAACAAGGTGTGTTTTGTATTCAGGGACATGCCTGAAGATGGTGCCTTACTATATATATACTCTGGCTTTGTGTTTGAAATATTTTGACAGTGCATTATTTTTTGAATGATTAATACTACCTCTTTTACATCTTTCATACAAGTTGAGTAACAACAAAAAGCAGAATTTAAACCAAAAATATGCCTTCCTTATGGTTTTTAAAGAGCAATTGTTTTTAAGATATATTAAATATTTATTGAATGCTAGATTTGGAAAATGAACTCAATCCGTTTCTTTAGGAAACACGGTACATATCCTAAAATGACTGGAAAAAAAACCTGTCAGCTCCATCTATAAAACACCTTTAAAAATTTCTTAAAAGCCTCTATGCATTAAGTCATTTCAGGTATCTCCTTCTAATCCAGGAGTGGGCAATTATTTGGGCCTGAAGGCCACATAGGGAGTTTTGGGGAGCTGTCACAGGCCATATCAGTCCATCCCCTCCTCCACTGCCCCCATAACTGCTCACCAAACCTATGTGGGATGGGGTTGTGGATGGGGGAAGAGGAGCAGCTGGTATGGGTGTGGGCACCAGCTTCAACCTCAGGCCCATCCTTCTACCCCTAGGAAGGGCTCAGGCAAATGCCCCAATCCCCAGGGAGAAGCTGCTGCCTGCATCCACAGGTGACGCTGGTACCCACCCAGCGCTACTTCCAGCACACAGGCTGGGAGCTGGTGTAAGCTGCAGGGCTGTGCTATAGGTACAGGATGGTTGCGGGGGACAGGAGAGGGAGGAAGGGGAAGACAGAGGTGGCACTGCCCATGATGAGCAGCAGTGGCTGGTGCTGGGCACTGGGTAAAAGCAGGACCCAGCAGTGGGCGCGCTCACCACTTCCAGGATCCTTCTGGCTATGGCTGCCTGGAGCCCATGCTGTGGTTGCCCTGCAGTTCCTCCCTGCTGCTGCCACCCTGCAGGCCCAGGGTGACCTGAAGGTGGTGTGGGGCAGTGGCAGCAGGGAGGAGCTACAGGGCAGCCATGGTATGGGCCATGGAAGTGGCAAGCGTGCTTGCTGCTGGGTCCCCTTTTGTCTGACA